GACCCGGCGCCTGGCCGGCTCGGTATGTTACTCCCCCAGAGGCAGAGCCAGCCTCTCTCTGCTGGGAGGATAGCTCTGGAGCCCACGTCCAAAGTCACACGGGACTCATCGGGGATGGCAGCCAGCCCAGGAGATTTACTAGGCTGGGAAGGGGAACGTTTTCTGGGTTGGGGGCTGCTGCCCCACAGAAAAATCAGTCGCACAAAAGAGAGACGCAAAACCCACTGCAAACAATCCACCCCATACCTCACTGACATGGCCTCTGAGTGAGGAGAAAGACCCTCCCCACATTCCCCTTACACACCCAAGCCTAGGGGGTCCCAGGCTGGTAGATTTTGTGGGCCCCCAGTCTCTAAGGGAGCAAAAAACAAGGGGTTCAGTGTGGGAGGGGGCTGCCAAGGAATGAGATAGGGATTGGGGAGTTCAAGGTCTGGATAGTAGGCTGAATGTAGAAGTGGGATGGCAGTCTGGCAGGAAGGTTGGGTGCAGGAGCGGGTTGAGGGTGGGGTGCAGGTTGGGAGTATGAGGTCTAGGTAGGAGGGTGGGTGCAGGAGCAGGGTGGGGGGAGTGTCTATGGGAGAGGGGGTGTGAGGGCAATGGGGGTGTTGGGTCTGGGCATGAGGAGGATCGGGGGTGCTTACCTGGCTCCGTGCGCCCTACCAATCCTAGGCATCTCCCCCCACTGTTTGAATTAGCTGCGATTCTGGTCAATGGGAGCAGCGGGGAAAGCCTCCAGGGTGAGCGGTTTCCTGCACTGCCGTTCCTTCAGCCAGGGAAAGGAGGAGCAAGAGTGGCAGTGCATAGAGCTGCTTCTTTCCCCCGTGAGCCAGATCCAGCCCAGCTTTCCCCTACTCACACAGCTGGAAGTTGGTGCTGACACTTTAACTACGTGGGAAGGAGTGCAGGGCTGGAGCACAAGCATGGGCTCCCCTCCACAGGGGAGTGAGCCTTAAACCCATGGCCCACCTGCAAGACAGTTGTAGACCACGCTTTGAGAACCACTGCCTTATAAACTGATAAGTTAATATAATTTTCCTGATGTCTCCAATCTCATTCATATCTTGTTCTCCATTTGAATTTTACATACTCAGGGAAGAATTAAACTAAATTTGGGTAAGGCAATAAATGGTCAAAAAACTGTGTGCGTAGGGTTGCTCTTGACTATTATAAATCATGATATTCACATCTAAGTGTCAATAACACATTTTTGTAGCTGTTTCTAACCAGTCTTACAGTCCCCTTCAATAGCTACTATCAAGATTTACTTCTGATGTAGGGATTTTAAATATTGGTTAATTGAATAGTCGACTAACCTTATGCATTCTAATCAGTTACTCAAATATTCTATAGTTCCCAGGGGCAGGGCTGGCAGCCCATGCGCTCTGGCCCTGCTCCTGAGGAGTAGGGTTGCCAGGTGTCCGGTTTTGAACTGTGGACAATCCAGTATTTGAGTTTTCTGTTCGAGAAACAAATTGAGAAAATATAAATGTCCGGTATTTTCTAAATAAGATGTAATGTAGATGGTGATGTAATGTCAAGTGTGTCTGGTATTTTTGTTGAACCCATCTGGCTACCCTACTGAGGAGCCCCTTGCCACTCCGCTCTCCTTCCTCTATATCAGAGGCAGCAGCATGGGGTGCCAGGTGGGAGGTGATCTGCGAGGGTAGCCAGTTTAAAAACAAGCTCGCCTCATGGACCAGCAGCCTGTCATCCCGCACTGTTGCCTTTGACACAGAGGCAGCAGGGTGGGGGGACA